GCAGTCGATCCGAATACTCTTAAGTGTTTTATTGCGGGTGCTCTTTTGAACCATTTTTCAAACGGAGTGAGCGTCTCTCCGGACTTCAAGATTACTCTGTTTAGCAGGTAACAAGCAGTGTTTATTGCTTCAGGCCATAGCTTAGGATTTACATTGTTAGCATGCAGCATTGAACGTGCACTCTCGACAAGTGTTCGAATCTCGCGCTCGGCGCGTCCATTCTGTTCATGTATATAAGGGGCCGAAAATTCATTTATGATACCTTTCTCTTTAAGGAAGGTCTGCATTTTCCCGCAGGTATACTCGGTGCCGTTATCCGTGCGAAGAACTTTTATTTTCGTTCCCAGCTGAGTTGACACGAACGCCTCGAATTGCTTAAATCTGTCGAATACTTCCGATTTATGACGCAAAAAATAAACTTTTCTGAAGCTTGTATTTTCGTCTTTGAAAACAATAAAGAATCGCGTACCACTTGGGGACTCTACATTTACAGGGCCGCAAACATCGCTGTGTATCTTTTCTCCTGGCCTGTAATTGTTTTTAGATGTGCTGCTTGGATGCGGCCTTCGGGTCTGCTTGCCCAGTACACACCCTTCACAAAACTCGAAATTTTCTTGAAAGATCCCGTCGATGCCAAGCTGTTTACATGTGCGTTTAACAGCTTGCACATTGACGTGTCCCATTCGTGCATGCCAAAGATTTAGCTTACCTTGCCCATCTGCTCGCACAGCATTACATTCCGTGGACACTTTTACCTTGAACAGCATGCGAAAAATATTTCCATCTGGAACTCCCCGCGCGATGACATTCTCTTGCTTATCACGAATTTCACATCCACTTTCGTCAGAGAAAAACTTGAAGCCTTTTCTATTCACTGATCCTACAGAGAGTAGATTGCAGCCAAGATCAGGCACGTAAAGCACATCTTTTATTTCACGCTCATATAAAACTTCATCAAGCTTTTCTTGGATTATAATTGTTCCTATACCGGGCGCGTCAATGCAGCGATCATCAGCCACTTTTACTACACTTCCCCCTGGGTTCGGGCGAAATTCAGAAAAGAAATCTCTTCGAAAAGTCATGTGCCTCCCAGCACCCGTATCGGCAATAAAATAGTCTTTATGGCCACTGTCACTTACACACTTATATGAAGAAGTAATGTCACACACGAGCGCGGTCGTTGAGTTTATTGTTTTCCCACTACTTTCACTTTTCCCTGAATTTTTCTGTGGACACTCGCGAGCCCAATGACCTTTTTCTTTGCACACTCCGCAGCGCGTTTTCTTTTTCAGCTCTTCAATGTCCTTTTTGGAGCGTTTCTTTTTCTTCGAATCACTTCTCGCGTCGTTTTTCGCGTCGTTTTTCGCGTCACTCAGAGAAGCTTTTTTCACGCGAAGCGCAAGCGTTGTCACTTCTTTCTCCGAAAGCCGATTGTCTTCCTTGATCAATCTTGCTATGAGCGTCTTCTGTGTTCGATCATCTTTGGGAGTGCATTCCCAGGCTATCGTGAAAAGTTCAAACTTTTCTGGCAAACTAGTAAGTAATTTTGATACTATTGCCTCATCGGAAGGCTTTCTATCGACATCTTCTAATTTCTTTAAAATGCTTTCGAATCGTTCTAATTGCACTCTCACTGTCTCGTCCTCGGTGATGTGAAAAGCATAAAACTGCTTCCATGCAGCTTGTTTCGCGTCAGCACTCGTATCACCATAGAGTTCACTCAACTTATCCCACATTTCCCTTGCAGACTTACAGTTGATTAGATGGCATCGTAGATCTTGCTTAATTGAACATAAAATTATCATTTTGGCGCGTGATGATAATTTATTGTAAACCTTGAGTTCAGCTGGCTTATCTTCTCCTGGCTTTTTCTCCGTCCCGTCCACGAGGCTGAATAGATCTTTGCCTTCAAGCGCGATCTCCACTTCGAACTTCCATTGCATATAGTTGTTCGTACCTTCTAGCTTCGTGATATCTAAGCTCTCTTTGTCAGACATCGTGAATGATCAAAAAGAACTTGCACTTAGAACGAAAAAAACCAATGTACAGTCAAACTTTAAGACTTTTTATTCACTTAACCAGCGTGGCTTGTCAACAAAAACTGGGGCGCAGTAGAATCGTTTCTGGGCCCATAACCTATTGAATTTATTAGACAAAATAAACTCAATCAATTATGCAGAGAACGTTGCTCAGTATTTATTGATATACAGAAAAAGTTATAAAGTATTTGAAGAATAAGCGCGGAGTCGCTCGAGAGTAAGAGATGTTACTCCTTCGAGAGCTAGGCTATAAACTAAACTGAAACACTGTAATCGCAGATGACCGTAGGTACACGCATACTTTCGCATGGAGAGACAGAGTAATACTTTGTTGCCAAATCTGGAGGCTTCGGTCATCGGCGCGCTTCGAACGGTCAGCAAGGAAAAGAATTTATAACTAGACCTCGCTTTACCTCAGACAAACACTCAAAATATAAAATATTCGCTCTCACATTTATCAATAAATTACTAGATAACAGTTGTGAGTCAATAAGTCAAAGAACGAAGCAGAAGATGTTGGAATCAAGTAAAATGTATTCTCGAATTCGGTTGTCTATTTTAACAATAGGAAATAAGAGGAAAAGATTCTTGCTGATACCGTTTACGGTCCATTAATATTACTTTGGTAGGTGAGAGTGAGTGGATGTTCGGGCGAGGGCAATCCGTTTTCATCCGCTATTCTCGACGGAGAGGAGAAAGGAAATAAAAAGGAAAGAAGTTCGGTAAAGGTGGCTCTCGGATGCAATAATTAAGGTGGATAGACTCGGCGAGATGGAGCGCTAAGATGGAGCACAAACTTTCTTGATTCCGAGATACAAGAACCATTAATTTTCGTCATATTACGCCATCGACATAGGATTGCACTGATGCCTCGTAATAGGCAGTCCGCCAGATCTGAAAGTTATATACGTACAGACTTCGTAAATACCTACTCTAATTACTCTTAAAATAAATATATCGTCGTTGGGCACTAAAAGGGTTAAAAAGAGTTGTGAACCTTTGTTCCGTAACCATGTACATACATTTATTCGGCATTTAAGCCGCTTGGCTTCTTATCTAAGCTCGATTAACGATGATCGGCGATGATCCATGGGCGAAACGTCGCCGTTCGTTATCTCGAAAGTTAATCAGGCATCGCATCAGCGCGCGCGATGGTAGGCACCAGGATGGAAGAGGGCATTACGGAGCGCGAGGTGGAGCTAATGCGAAGTGAAATTAATGGGATCGAGAGCTGGCATAGTATCGTGCCAAGGAAACCTCGTCGTAATCCGTCAGCTTATTACAGTAGAACGAGTATAGAGCAACGTCGTGTGTCGCACTATGCAAGTTCCTCTCGCCTGTTCGGACTTCGCTAGCAAGTTCACTCCGGCACGCGCCAGGTTTTCCTCACGGAATTCCCTTTTTGCGCATCTCTCCGCGAAGAACTACAAGTTTGCTTGCAATCCATCGTTTGCTTATCGATCCTCTTCCTCGTTTCACGGGGTCAGTGAGGTTGATCCATCTTTGTGCTCTGCTCGGTTGACTACAAACTTTGTAGTCAGCGAAAAAGTTGCCCGAGAAGAAAATAACAAGATATCTTCAAAGGAAATGGTATACGTGTATGCACTGGGTAATCTCGTAGCCTTGAACGGATCTCGTCTGATTTAAACGGAGATTTTCTGGTCGCTACGTTTTATGTTTATGTACATACATATTATGGATCTCCTGATAATTGAAAAGATTCGCCGAAGTTGAACGATCGCCGCATCGCAGGGACAGTAAAAAATTACTGTTCGATGTACTTCTCGATCAATGATTCTTGTTACCCGTTCGCGCTCGTTTCAGCTGCCTCGAACTTTCTACTTTAGACGTTTATGGATTCGCGGCGGAATTATTCATAAGTCTACTCTCTTATGAGCATTTGCCGGTTCTCGTCTTGAAGAACGTCGATATCGTTAAAACTTGTTCACCAAGAGTTTCTTAAGGATTAAAATAAAGCCAATAACATTCTATATTAATGTACTGTCTCTCGTTGTCAGTTACATTTTAGAATAGTATCGATTTTCATAACTCGTCTGTTGAAA